TACCGGTCTATGGGAGGGAGCCAGGTCCTATGCCATGGAGCGCTTTAAAGGTGGTAACTAACACCTTAAAGCGCAATGTAAACTGCTATAAAAGTTCCTAAATGCTTACTCTGTACTTATGATAGACCAGTAACAAATGTTTCATGGACCAGCACTGGACCATACTTTGAGTAGTGTGGCAGTAGGGAATACCAGCTGTGGGCTAGACTATGAAACAATAAATCAGCACACCGCATCCATATTATTGCCAAAATATCTTCACTGATGCAAGCATGAAGTCATGAAAAGTCCATCAATAAGGAAAGAATGCACTTTGGAAAATAGTTTATCAAATGCTTCTTCCGTTATCAGAACACTGGAATTTATCTACAGGAGAGTGTAAATAGCTCAATAGCAAAATGTCAGGCTCTGGAGGGAAAAATAACACTTTTTGTAAAGTTTTGCTGTACTTCAGAGAAGAGAACGAACACAGAAAAGTGAAATGAATTAAACATGTGGAAAAGAATTAAACTAACCAACCAGCAGCTAATGACCTCAGGATAATATTTCTACTCGGAAATTTTTATTCCACTTATTTGAGAATTAATACTGAGTTAAGCACATACATGATTGTACCATCAAAGAAAGATAAATTTAAAACAAGTTTATCTGTGTTCAGTTCACAATTATAAGATTAGCCTAATGAATCACACTGCAGATGACTGGGATAGGAGAGAAGCTCCCGTGCTTCTAAATATATGCCTGAATATATATATATATTTTAATTACTTAAATGTACTTGGGTTCTGTCTGTCAAGAATGAAGCAAATATAATACAATGGGGGAGGGGGGAACCATTTACAATACAGTACAATACAAGCAATACTTATAAAAGGAGGGAATCGCTCCATACCCTAATTTTAAGTGAAAAAGTCTCAATTTGTTCATAAGCTATCACAATCAAATGACATCATGCATCCTTAATATATCATCTCTTATTCTATTATCTAATTTCGGTGCTAATAAACACATCCACCCTGAGTCACCATTCTGAGAATAATTGAAATGTACCCTATTGTTTATGTGTGTGTGTGACTGTGTATATAAAGTGAAATACAAATAAATATAAGGTTAAAGAATATTAGGAGAGAGTTCAAGAAACCTTATTGACTATTGGCTTTTCTTGCTGATGTATTTTCCAGAACTTTATGGCACATTCCATATTCCTTTCAAGTATTTTTTTCTATAATGCAACATTACCTTTTCTCCCCTGAAGAATAACAACTTTGGTGCCTTTTCAAGAGATAGGATTCAAATCTAATGACTTCCTGTATAAAGTAGCAACTTTAAGGCTGAGAGAAAAAGGCACTCAAGATCACTATGATCTAATTCTAATTTTTTTTTTGGGTCAAAATTGGCAATTTTAAGACAATAAGAGTTCAACTCCCAGAACTCTGATCTCATTCAGCCCAACCCAACCAGTTGTCTAACCAGAGTTAGATCATACACAGCTCGCCAGTTCTAAAAAACTGGCCTTAAATTTACCACCGCTCGTATTTATGAGATATTTCAATGAGGAGAGGCGCAACCCGTCCACTCCAGACCCCAGTGCAAAAATAGGGCGGATTCAAGGCACCACCCAACCCGGTTGTGTCTTTTCCCAGTTAACAAAAGTGTGTCCAGGCCCAGCAAGGGAGATTCCCAAACCACCTTTCCTGCTCTCCTTAAACATCTGTGCAAAGAATGGAAAGGCCGCTGGGAGACTCCCTATGGAAGACCCTGCAGGGAGATCAGATCCCCAGCTTTGGAGATCTTTGCTCCCCAAAGGGATACATAGAGTTAGCCCTTCCTTCCTTCCTTCCTTCCTTCCTTCCTTTTTTTCCTTCCTTTCCTCTCTCCCTTTTTTCCTTCCTCTCTCCCTCCATTCCTTTTTTCCTTCCTTCCTTTTTCCCTTTTCTTCCTTCCTTTCCTCTCCCTTTTTCCTCCCTCCCTCCTCCCTCCCTCCCTTCATTCCTTTTTTCTTCTTTCCTTCCTTTCCTCTCTCCCTTTTTTCCTTCCTCCCACCCTCTCCTTCCTTCCTTTTTTCCTTCCTCCCCTTTTTCCTTCCTTCCTTTCCTCTCTCCCTTTTTCCTCCCTCCATTCCTTTTTCCTTCCTTCCTTTTTCCTTCTTCCCTCCCTTTTCCCTCCTTCCTTTCCTCTCTTTTTCCTTCCTTCTTCCCTCTTTTCCTTCCTCCCTTCTTTCTTTCCTCTCTCCTTTTTTCCTCCCCTTTTCCTTCCTTCCTTCTTCCTTTCCTCTCCCTTTTTCCTCCCTCCATTCCTTTTTCCTTCCTTCCTTTTTCCTTCTTCCCTCCCTTTCCTCTCTTTTTCCTTCCTTCTTCCCTCCCTTTTCCTTCCTTCCTCCCTTCTTTCTTTCCTCTCTCCTTTTTTCCTCCCCTTTTCCTTCCTTCCTTCTTCCTTTCCTCTCTCCCTTTTTCCTCCCTCCATTCCTTTTTCCTTCCTTCCTTCCTTTTTCCTTCTTCCCTCCCTTTCCTCTCTTTTTCCTTCCTTCTTCCCTCCCTTTTCCTTCCTTCCTTCTTTCTTTCCTCTCTCCTTTTTTCCTCCCTTTTTCCTTCCTTCCTTCTTCCTTTCCTCTCTCCCCTTTTCCTTCCTTCCTTCCTTTCTTCCTTCTTTCCTTCCTTCCTTCCACGGTTCAGGTGTGGCCGGCCTCCCTCCCCGGAGCGCGCAACGCCCCAGCCATGTCGGCCCCGGCCACCCTTTCCGCGCCCCTCACCAGCCCGTCTCGTCCTCTTCGCAGCCGGCCAGCCGCTCCAGCTCGTCGGGCCTCAGCGGCTCCACCTCGTCCAGCAGGCCGCTCTTGTCGACGCTCCCCCGAGCCGCCTCCGCGCCCCGCTCGTCGCCCAAGGGAGGCCGCCGCGGCCCGGCCTTGGAGCTCAGGCCGCGGCTCTCCAGCCCCAGGGCCGAGGGCGAGGAGCAGGAGGAAGAGGAGGAGGAGGACGGCGAGAGGTGGCCGGCGGGCGGCGTAAGGAGCGGCGGCGGCGGAGGCGTGCAGGCGCCCGACCCTCCTCCTCCTCCTCCGCCGCTGAGCAGCCGCTTGGGGCTGCCGCCGGGCGCCCCGGCCGCGCTGCGGATGCGGAGCTGCTCGTTCTGCTTCTCCAGCTTCTTCACCAGCTCCTGCAGCTTCCGCACTTCGGCGTCGGCGTTCACGTTGGAGTTGATGTCCTCCATGGCGCCCAAAGCCTCCGCCGCCGCCGCCGCCGTTGCCGGTCTCTTTCGGGCGGCGTCTCCGGCTCCTCAGGCCCAGGCCGCCCGCTGGCTTCCCGAGGCGGACGGGCCCCCCCTACACGGCCGGGCGGGGAAGCGCAGCCTCGCCGCTCCCGCCTCCGCCTCGTCGGTTGGTGGCGGCCGCCGGGCCCGCCTCAGCTGCGGCCCCGCGCGCGGCGGAGGGAACCGACACGTAGATCCGGCCGCGGGCCTGGCTGCCCCCCGGGGAGGGAGG